CCAGCCCCAACCCGGACCGGGGTTAGGGTTTGGGTGACGCCAACCCTAAGGGGGGGGCGGGGTTGGGGGGGTTTGGACGACTCCAACCTTCTCTTAGATTGAGGTTGGAGTTGTTCCGAACCCAGAATCAACCCCAACCCCCAACCCGCCCCTGCGGGGTATGCTCCTAGTGTTGGGCACCATGCGCTCCAGTCGCATGCACGCTCTTTTTTGACTATGGTTGGGTCGCAAGTCGCAAGCCTCGGTTTGGAAGCGCGGTAATGCGGCCGGAATGCTTGCCGAAACTCTTTCCACTTTTGCAAGGCATCGTGTGATTGTATTGAAGAGAGCAACGGATTCATTGGTTGCAAGTTTCGGTTTTGCAAATTTTGTTTGACGTTTCCTTCCTTTGAGCATCTGTCAAAACTTCCGCAATTGTAGTTAAGCCGAAGGTGACCGTGGAATGCCGAATCTTGCCAATTTCCTTGGAAAGCGATAGGATCCCTCCAAAAGCACGCTCAATACAAACATGAGTTGTGAGGGATGGGCTGATGTTAGTTTCGTTTGTGTTGGTACTGTAAGAACCCCTGTGTCGTCGTTTCTAGAAGAAGAAGCCTAGGTTCACAGTTGTGTGTGGCGGTTGAGGACAGCAAAAGGCAGCAAATCGCTGGAAGTAAAGCACTAAAGGGAAGGTCTTGGAGACTACAGTGAATCAGTAAGAATGATGGTCTTCTTATTTTCACAAAAGAAGCGATACCCACAGAAACATGTGACGAAATTCTTGTAAAAGCGACAAGGTCAAGCAAAATACAAGAAGTTTTGACGCGCTCAATGTCGTGGAAGCTTTGAGCTCGGTTTGTGTTGGAAAAAAAGGATCATTTCGGATTTTCCCGACACAAATTCAGAAACCTTCTGTGAGTTTCAAACAGAGCTTTTATTTTTGTCAAAACTGGGCATGCTGTTGACGTCACATGTGAACATCTGTGGCCGTTGGAACATTGTGGGCAAGTGTTGCATGCAACAAGTTTTGCCCGCTCTCCCACTCTTTTGATGTTGTACTCTGTCTGCAAAGCTCACCTCCATGGCTTTCTGGAGGCTGTAGGATTGTCGCTCGGTTTGTGTTGAAAAATTGACAAAAAGTGGATCTCAATGGTTGTCTGTAGTTTCTCTGCTGCATGCTTTCAAAGCAGTCGGCTGTTAAAGCCGAACTAGACGCTGGAACGCTGCAGACGGCAATAGAACCTAATTTGCTAACAGTTCGGTTGGGTTGAAGGTTTAAATGGTATGGGATTCCGGGCAAAAATTTGTGCTCCACCGAAAAGCACGAACAAGACGTGAACAAGATCCCGAAGATGTAGCTAAGTAATTGGGTTTTTTGAACATATTTGCAACTATACATTTGGTTTGGAACTTGGATTTGAACATCGAAGTTCGCCCCAAACCCTACATTCGAAATCTAAGTTTAAGTTCCGTTTCAATTCTGAATGAAAATCTGAACTTCAACTTCAACCTTCAATTCTGCACAGAACAGATGACATGGCCACAAGCCATGGTTGCGGGGAAGCCGTCATTTGGTTAGGAAACATGTGATACGCTGTTCTGGACCACACGTGCTCGAACATGGCTGTTGCTCCATCTCGGGTATTTCGCTTGACAAAAAATTTCAGTTTTGAGAAGATGTCGGCCGTGTTTTGCAGTCGATATGAGATTTGTGTCCCAACCATCTGGCATAACTTATTGACGGCACTTGCTGTTTTCGAGATTGGAGTGTCAATCTAATTGTCGATACGAATAGGCCAACGATTGACAAGTTTCGCTGGTGATCTTGCAATCTTTGCTGACAACATTCCACATCGTGCTGCTTATTGAGCGTTTTCATATGTGTGCAGTTAACCTCGAAGGCCATGGATGTTGTCCGAAAGGTTGCAGTGGCCACAGACGTCACAGGTTTTTGCTCTTTCGCTTGGGTGGCATTCGTTTTGCGATGGTTTGTCGTGATATTCGGTTTGCGTTTGCTTTGATTTGTACCTAGTTCCTTTGCTTTTTAATTTGAGTGTCTGTTCGCGAACTCTGTTGCAGTCGTGTTATTGTTCTGTTATCGTGACACCAGCATGCTTTCGGTGCAATGAGTGTGTTCTGTTGCCTGGCATCCATTGCCTCGTATAATCGCTGCAGGTATTGGAAAAACAAATATCAAGTGACCAATATCCCCAAAACCCATTTGTTCCGGGTTAGGTATGTGGAAAAATCGCAGGCTATTCTTTTGGGTTTTGTTTTCTGATCGTTTCATGCCGCTGCAACATGGAATCGTTGGAAAACACGGTGTTGTCGGCCCGTTTGCTGAATTTCTTCGCTTGTTCTGGCGCATGTTCAATGCTCAAACAATAGCTAGTTCGCGGGTTGTGTAGGTTCACACAGCATGTGCTTCCGGATACTCGTGCTACCGCAAATAGATTCACCAATGCATCTTGCTATTTTGCTCTTGCTAACAACCATCATAACTCCGAAATCAATGCAGAGTGCAAGATTGAATGCGGCGGCCAGAAGCCGGTTTGTGCGTGCCATGGTCTTTGGTCAAAAATTATGTCGACCGTCAGGTAGGAGTCAGTGATTGCTTCGCAACTCGGCTGTGGTGCATCAAAGTGCATGTGTGCAGGTTTGACAGCGGAGAGCTGGATGATCAACGACGCCGTTGGTCAGTTGGCGCCCTTAGTGGCACAGGGTAGAACCCTCAACAGTCTGGTCCATGTGCCAAGTGCACGTTCTGAGGCCACAGGAGTATTTCGGAACACATGGCAAAAGATGAATGTTCGTCCCTCAATGGTTGCAGGCGCCGAATAGTTGTCAACATTCTTTCTATATATGGGGTCATTATGTCTTGTTAGTGTTGCGTGGCCCATACCACAGGTTCATTACTGTGTGTAGCGTTATGCTTCCATTTTTGTGTTCACATGCGACGAGGTGGTCCCTCGTCTTCGTTCTCATCCGCCGTTTCTGGTACAATGACAGCGTGGCTTCGAATCTAGATTTTTACACTCACTGCGTCTCTCAATAAATTGACATCGTGTCTTGTTTCGGGCGGGCGAGAGCCGTCCAATCATCATGTCTCTCTCATACCTGCTCAGTTTGCAGCTTGCATTACAGTAGTGGTAGTCGTCGTGATCGTTCCTGTGCCGTCCGTTGTTGTTAGTGTCAAGTGTGTTGCTTCACCAGGAAGTGGGTCATCAGTTCGCCCTTAGCCATGTAATGAGTCTTTGTTGTCGCAGCAGCAGCCGCAGCTGCAGCGGCAGCAGGAGGAGCAGGAGTTTTAGTTGTAGTCGTAGTAGTAGTAGTAGTAGTAGTAGTAGTAGTAGTAGTAGTAGTAGTAACAGTAGTAGTAGTAGTAGTAGTAGTAGTAGTAGTAGTAGTAGTACTGTAGTCGTCGTCGTCGTCATCGTAGTAGTAGTAGTAGTAGTAGTAGTAGTAGTAGTAGTACTAGTACTACTACTAATAATAATAATGGTAGTAGTAGTAGTAGTAGTAGTAGTAGTAGTAGCAGTAGTAGTAGTAGT